AAACACTATGACTTGGGTCAGATGCACCTTAGTCTTCAAAGAGACATCTTTGCTCCTTAACACTTTTTAAGAGTTTTTTTGCGGCAGATTTGCCCAGTGCAAGATGACATTTGATTTCTTAACTGCTGCTTCCATGGGTGTTGATCGTGGATCCAAGTAAAATGAAATCCCTGACAACTTCACTCTTTTCAGAGTCTCTTCTGCTATCCATTCTGGTCTTTAATCCAGTTCCTGTCTCTTTAATGACCTTGTGCATTCTTCGCATAAAATGTTCTTAATGTCATCCCACAACTTGCTTGGTCTTAGGTCATTGGTGTGCAGTGTATCCAATCTGTTCTTCAGATGGTCACTGTATTCACGTGGGATGTACTCAAGGTCAAATTTTGGCTTTTTTAAATTTTCCTCAGCTTTGACTTGAACTTGCATAGAAGAAACTGATGGTCTGTTCCACAGTCAGCTCTTGGCTTTGTTTTGACTAATGGTAATGAGCTGCACCATTGCCTCTTTCCAGAGATGTAGTCAGTTTGATTCCTGTGTATTCCATCTGTGAGGTCCACATGTATAGTAACTATGTTGTTGAAAAAAAGGTATTTACAAAGAGTAAGTCATTGATTGGTCTTGCAAAACTCGATTATGGGATCTCTGGTGTCATTTCTGTCACCAAGGCCATATTTTCCAATTATTGAAGGTGCTTCTTTGTTTCCAACTTTTGCATTTCAATTACCAGTAATTATCGATACATCTTGATTGCATATTTTGTCAATTTCAGACTGCAGAAGTTGGTAAAAATGTTCAATTCTTCATCTTTGGCTTTAGTGGTTGGTGTGTAAATTTAAGTAATGGTAGTATTAACTGGTCTTCCTTGTAGGTATATAGATATTATTCTGTTACAGCACTACACTCAGATAAATCTTAAAACGTTCTTTTTGGTGATTAGTGTGACACCATTCCTCTTCAATTTGTCATTCCTAGCATAGTAGACCATATGATTGTCAGAGTCAAAATGGCCAATACCAGTCCCTTTCAGCTCCATAATGCCTAAGATATTGATCGTTATGTGTTCCATTTCATTTTTGACAACTTCCAATTTACCTTGATTCATATTTCCTACATTCCATATTCCAATTATTAGTGAATGTTTGCATCTGTTTCTTCTCATTTTGAATCAACCACCATCAGTAAATGAGGGTCCTGAAAGCTTTACTCTATCCACCTCATTAAGGTTGACTCTACTTTGAAGAGCCAGCTCTTCCCCAGTTGTATTGTGAATGCAATCCAACCTGAGGGGCTCATCTTCCAGCACTCTGTCAGACAGTGTTTTACTGTTATTCATAAAGTTTTCCAGTAATGTATTAGGCAGTGCTTTACTGCTATTCATGAGGTTTTCAGTAGCCAATATTTTAGAAACAGATAGCCCTTTCCTTCTTCCCAGTGTTCTTTAGTCTGAAAGCTCTGCTGAAACCTGTCTACCATGGGTGACCTTGCTGGTATTTGAAATACCAGTGGCATATTTTCCAGCCTTACAGCAACACACAGCCATCATAGTATGACAAACTTGACAGATGAGGAGGAAACATTAGTTTATGAAAATGAATGATTATGGTATAAATTATTGTATATATCCCACCACTTGTCTGACAGTTTGTTGTACTTTGGTGGCTTGCATTTTGCTGTGAGGCTGGAGGCTATGCCACTGGTATTTCAAACACCAGCAGGGTCACCCATGGTTGACAGGTTTCAGTGGAGCTTCTAGACTAAGACAGACTTGGAAGAAGGAAGTGGCCATTTACTTCTCAAAGAGTTGGCCAGTGTGATTCCTTAAAAAGCTGGAATTAGAAATGCCATTTGACCCAGCAATCCCATTACTAGGTATGTATCCTGAAGAAGTGAGAGCCAGGACAAGATAGATATATGCACACCCATGTTCGTTGCAGCACTATTTACAGTGGCAAAAAGATGGAAACAACCTAGGTGTCCATCAATAGAAGAATGGATAACCAAACTATGGTACATACACACAATGGAATACTATGCAACACTAAAGAATAATGTAGAATGTGCAAAGTACCACATAACATGGATGACCTTAGAGGACAGTATGCTGAGTGAAATAAGTCAATCACAGAAGAACAAATATAGTATTAGTTCATTATTGTAAAAAGTCAAGGAAAGGTTTATATATGGAAGGAAACTTTCTTTGTTGGTTACCAGGGGTGGGAAGGGAGGGGAGGGAACACTGCAAAAAAAATAAATAAATAAAAAGGCATTGACCCATGTCACTTTAGTTTTGTGTACTTCACTGTACATAAATTATATTTCAATAAACTGTATTAAAAACAAGAATTCGCTAGGGAAAACCTTATGAATAACAGTGAAACGATGTCTGTTTGTATGACTAGCCCTGAAATTTTATCTGATACAGAAGATGAGCCCCTCAGGTTGTAAGGCACTCAAAATATGACTGGAGAAGAGCTGCTTCTTCAGAGTAGAGTTGACCTTAATGATGTGGATTGAGTGAACACTTGGCATTTCTCAAGCTGAAAGAACTGAAGAAAAAATTCAAGCCTGAAGTTGCAATATTGAAAGATTCTATGGGCAAAATTGTTGTTGTTATGTGCCATCGAGTCAGCCCTGACTCATAGCGACCCCTCCTTGGGTTTCCGAGGCAGTATCACTACGGAAGTAGGATTGCCCAACCTTCCTTCTGAGGAGTGGCTGGTGGGTTTGAACCGCCAGCCTTCTGGTTAGCAGTCAAGTGCCTTAGCCACTATGCTACCAGAGCTCCTCGGAAGGAAGGTTGGGCAATCCTACTTCCGTAGTGATACTGCCTCGGAAACCCAAGGAGGGGTCGCTATGAGTCGGGGCCGACTCGACGGCACATAACAACAACAACAACAACAATGGGCAAAATATTGAATGATGCAGGAAACATCAGAAGATGAAAAGAATACACAGAATCACTGTACCAAAAAGAATTGGTTGATGTTCATCCATTTCAAAAGGTAGCATATGATCAAGAACCAGTGGTATTGAAGGAAGAAGTAGAAGCTACACTGAAAGAACTGGTGACAAACAAGGTTCCAGGAATTGATGGAATTCCCACTGAGATATTTCAACAAACAGATGCTGTGCTTGAGTTACTTACTCATCTATGGCAAGAAATTTGGAAGATAGCTGCCTGTCCATCTGACTGGAAGAGGTCCATATTTGTACACATTCCAAAGAAAAGTGATCCCACAGAATGTGGAAATTATCAAAGAATATCATTACTATCACATGCAAGTAAACTTTTGCTGAAGATAATTCAAAAACGGTTGCAGCAATACATTGACAGGGAACTTCCAGAAAAGCAAGCTGGATTCAGAAGATGGCGTGGAATGAGGGATATCATTGCTGATGTCATGTGGATCTTGGCTGAAAGCAAAGAACACCAGAAAGATGTTTACTTGTGTTTTATTGACTGTGCAAAAGCATTTGACTGTGTGGATCCTAACAAATTATGGATAACACTGAGAAGAATGGGACTTCCAGAACACTTAATTGTGCTCATGAGGAACCTGCATTTAAACCAGGAGGCTGTCATTTGAACAGAACAAGGGGCATAGTTTAAAATCAGAAAGGGAGTGCAACAAGGTTGTATCCTTTCACCCTACTTGTTCAGTCTGCATGCTGAGCAAATAATCCAGGAATCTAGACTCTATGAAGAAGAGCATGGCATCAGAGTTGGAGGAAGACTCATTAACAACCTTCAGTATGCAGATAACACAACGTTGCTTGCTGAAAGTGAAAATGACTTGAAGCAGTTACTCATGAAGATTAAAGAGTAGAGTCTGCAGTATGGATTACACATCAACATAAAAAAAAAATGAAAATCCTCACAACTGGATCAATAAACAGCATCACAATAAATGGACAGAAGATTGAAGTTGTCAAAGATTTCCTATTACTTGGTTCCGCAATCAATGCCAATGAAAGCAATAGTCAAGAAATCAGATGACTTAATGCACTGGGCAAATCTGCTGCAAAAGACCTCTTTAAAGTCCTGAAGAGCAAAGATGTCTCTTTGAGGACTAAGATGTGCCTGACCCAACCCATAGTGTCATCAATTGCCTCATATGCATGTGAAAGCTGGACAGTGAATAAGGAAGACCAAAGAAGAGTTGATACTTTTGAGTTGTAGTGTCGGCAAAGAATACTGCAAGTACCATGGACTGCCATAAGAACTAACAAACAGATCTGTCCTGGAAGATGTGCGGCCGGAATGCTCCTTGGAAGCAAGAATGACCAGACTTCATCTCACCTACTTTGGTCATGTTGTCAAAAGGTACCATACCCTGGAGAAGGGTACCAGGCTTAGTAAAGTGGAAGGTCGGCAAAAGAGAGGAAGGCCCTCAACAAGATGGATTGATACAGTGAATGCAATGATGGACTCAAGTATAGCAAGGATTGTGAGGCTGGTGCAGGACCAGGCAGTGTTTCATTCTGTTGTACATAGGGTCACTGTGAGTTGGAGCTGACTTGACGGCACCTAACAACAATGACATTGTATATATCATATGTATTACCATTAGTTTCAGCTCTATCTCTTTATCTGGCTGATGCAAAAAGGGTTTTATACATTTCATTTAACCATTGCCCAGGTTAGTGGGTTGTTTTTACCTTTTGAGAAATGATGTTAATATTATGCTTGATGTGTTAATTCTAAAAACTCTGTAGTGTTTTCTCCCTACCTTTAAATTTCTGAAGAGATAAATAAATAGTGCTCACATTCTTACAAATACTAAGAGCACTAAGTTAGTGGTTATTTTGTTATGTAACAAGTCTTTTTTTAGTATTCAATTCTGTACCAATGAATGAATATTTTCTTCTGAAATGTGACTTTAATTAAAATTTCTAATCTCTTAGAGTTCTCTTTTGATTATGTTGTTATTTTGGTTTTGTCTTTTGCTTTGTTTTCCAGAAAAGTAATACACTAAGAACTTCTTTATTTTTGGTTTTAGAAAAACTGATTGCTTATCAACGAGAATTTCTTGCTTTGAAGGAACGTCTTCGAATAGCTGAACATAGAATCTCACAGCGTTCTTCTGAGTTAAATACTATTGTACAGCAGTTCAAGCGTGTAGGAGCAGAAACAAATGGAAGTAAGGATGCATTGAATAAATTTTCAGGTAAAATGGTATTTTTGGTATTATAAAAATTATCTTTTCAAAGAATTGTGTGGAATATTATATTAGAAAGTTGTGTAGAGTAACTTATTAGCCAACATTTGTCACCTTTTTCATTGAATCTAGTACTTAGAAGAGTCGCCATACAAAACTTACTATTATGATAAATTATAAAACAGTTTTTATTAATTGCCAAATTTAATTTTAAGAATACTATTAAGTAAAATTACTGTTATATAAATTTCATTGACAATAGTGGAAAACCATCTTTTGAAAACATCCAAAGTAGGATTAAAATTAAACTTTATATTGAACTATACTGATTTTGTGACTGGACTTCCGATAGATTCTGGAGAAATTTTTTGGCTATTAGAAACAATTAGAACTCTAAATTTTTATTTATAATAAAAAGATTGCATTATTTTATAATGGATGCTTTTGAGATTGATCAGTTTTTTCTGTGAGGACTTCCAGTGAGAGTAAAGTGAATGAATGCCAGTTCTTCTAGTTTCTGTACTGTTCTTACTTGGATAATTAAATTGATACATGCGTGTAAACAGTTGACTCAAACTTTGCATAATCTTTCTAGAGTAATTTACTTTTTAAAAAAAAAATTATTATTGTGATTTGCATGAACGTTTACAGAGCAAATTCATTTTCCATATAGCAGCTCGTTTCATGTACACTTTGTCTCATGATATTGACTGCAATTTCCCACTAGAGTAATTTACTTTTTCATTTACCATCAATTATTTTATTTTTACTAGTAATTCCTCTCATGTTAAGATGCTTTACATAATTTTTAAATCATTCTCTTTGCTTCCCCTCCTGATTATGAAATTTGACTTATGTCATAATAGCATTTAAAATTATGGAAGATAAGAATGGTATAGATAAGAAGAAAATAAATTACCCATAAGCCTCTTGCCAGGTGATCTCTGTTAACATTTTTTGTTTAATTCTAGTCTTTTTTCTGTGTCTGTTTTTCTTTAAAATTGTGATTGTGTATTATAGCCTGATTTTTGCTCTTGATATACTATGAGCATTTCACCAATCATTAAATAATCTTAAAAAATACCATTTGTAATGGCTGCATAATATGCCAGCTAATCATGTACCATATACATTAAATATTTTTCTGTGATTATGCACATTTTTTTTTCTGGCCCCTTCTTCCCCTCAATTTATGCCTGTGTGATGAATATCTTCATATATAAATCTGATTGCATTTCTGATACCTCTTAAATTATTTCCCTTACATTTTGACTTTCTTGGAAACAGCATCTATGTTTTGACAACTGTTGATTCCGAAACACACAGCACAGTGGCTAGAACACAGGACAGAAATTGTTTAGGTTTGTGGTAGTTAAGGTTGTATGTCAACTGGGCTGGGCCTGGTTGAGTGGTTGGGCAGCTGGTGGTAGTTATTCCCAATGGTGAGATTAGTAATGAACTCCATGGTGGAATCTACTGGAGCAGCTGAGTAGCTGCTTTAGGGATGTGGGCTGCTTCCAGTATATAAGAAGCAACTTTGAGGAAGGTCTCTAGCTGATGGCACGCTTGAACCCTGCATGTAGCTGAGTCATTGTTCAGCAGCCTGCCATGTTGCCCTACCGATCTTGGGACTTTCAGTGAACTTGAATTAATGGCCTGCTGTGTGGTTTGGTAATAACAGGACTGTGCCTTTTCACTTGATCTTGGGTTTATCAGCCTCAGCAGCTAGCAGCTGTCTGAGTGAAGACATGCCTCTAGCTTCAGTGGGCCTGGAGCAGGAGGCAGAGCTGAAGCCCAAGGTCGAGGGGCTTTCACCCAGCCCTAAAGCCTGGCACCTGGAACTCGGACTTCTACCCTCCAAAACTGTAAGAGAACAAACTCTTCCGTTTGTTCCACCCATTCCATTTGTGGTATATTCCTGTCAGAGTGGCACTAGGTAACCAGAACGAGGTTTTTTTTTTTCATGTTGTTCTAAATGCTTGAAACATTTGTCCCTACATTATCACCATGGCTTAAGATTACTATTTAACCTGCTAATTTTATAGGTAGAAATTGGTATTTTGTCATTTATAATTATGTCTTTACTTACAAGGTTAAACTTTAATTTCATGTATCACAGTCATCTGCCTTTCTTTTTATGACTTTTGGTTCTTGCCATTGTTTTTAATGGAATTTTTATGTTATTTTTTTATGTAGTCGTTATTTTTATTATTTATTTTTTAATTTTTTATTGTGATGTGGGTGCAAATTTACAAAACAGATTGGTTTTACACACAGCAGTTCACCCACATTTGGTCTCACTGTCCAGATTACAATCCCAGCCATAAAAAGCTCTCCTCCCCTCTCCTCCCTGTGACTGTCCCTTCCCTGTGCCTTTCTTATCTATGCTTCCTCTCTGTACAGCTATCCCTCTGTGCAATTTCTGCCCTTCTCATGTCTCATGGTTCATTGATATAGGGGTACATCTCCCCTATGACAGGTGGGTGCATCTTCCTGGATTAAGTGTTCTGTTTGTAGGTCTTTCTACTGTTTGGCTGAGAGCTAATCTACAGAAGTGAGTCTAGTTCCAGGCCCAAAGGATAACCTGGTCTTGAGGGTTCCACTAGCCCCCATCCGATGAGTAATTCTTGTCATTTTTGTGTTTTTGAATTTTGTTCCACATTTTTCCTCCAACTGTATCCAGGATTTCCAATTTTGATCCCTTTCTGAGTGGTATGCATTGGTAGCTGGGCACCATCTAGTTCTTCTGGTCTCAGCATTGTGAAGGCTGAGGTCCTCATGGTGTCCATCATATCTTTGGACTAATTGTTTCCAAATGACTTTGATTTTCTTTACTCTTCTTTGATCCAGATGAGATGAGACCAATAGTTGCATCTTAGATGGCCACTCAAAAGCTTTTGAAACCCCACTTGCTATTCACCAAAGTAGGATGTAGGACAAGACTTTTATGTCCTTGTGCCAGTTGAGCATGGTATCCCCTAAGATTATGGCCCTAAGCCTGCAGGCCCAGTAATTCTCTCCCTCAAGGTGTTGGTTGTTTCTGAGAAGCTCTTCCATCCTTGTCCTTTGTTACTTCTGTAATGTATGTGGTTAATTTTGTAGCACAAGTACATAGGTAAGACTGTCTTCATCTAAATCTATTTTTGGTCTTGAGTATATTCTTGTTTGCCTGTCCCCACCTAATCTCATCTGTCTATACATTTACCCATAGCCTAGTGTTTGCTGCCAGTGGTAATACAGTATTGTGAGTGTAATAAATAGTAGTTGTCTCTGTTATTTATATATCTTTTGTGCATATTTCTGTGTCTTCTCTTTCCCCATTGTCACTGTGCTAGTCACATACTCTTGCCATACCACCCCTCCCCTCACCCAAATCAACATGTGACCCCCAACTAGTCAGAAATTGTCCCTCCCCTTTCCTCCATCTCTGGTAACCAAGAAAATTAAATTTTCTTCCCTGCATAAACCTTTCCTTCACTTTTTTACAATAATGAACATATATAGTATTTGTCCTTCTATGATTGACTTATTTCACTCAACATAATGGTCTCAAATTCATCCACATGATGAGGTGATTCATGGATTCTTCATTCTTTTATAATGTTGCATAGTATTCCGTTGTGTGACTGTGAAATAGTTTGGTTATCCATTCATCTGTTCATGAACACTTTGTTGTTTCCATCACTTCTCTATAGTAAATTGTGTTGTGATGTCTGTGCTGGATCTCACCTCTTTAGGATATATTCCCAGTAATGGAATTCCTGGATCAAATGTTATTTCTATTTTCAATTTTTTTAAGTAAATGCCATACTGTTTTCCATAGTCATTACAGTCCCACCAGTAGTGTATGAGGGTTCCAATCTCTCCACACTCTCACCAGCATTTGTTATTTTCTGTCTTGTTGAACTTTGGTATTATTTCTGGGGTGAGATGATAACTCATTGTTGTTTTGATTTGCATCTCTCTAATCGCTAATATAATGGTTTAATATCCTTAGCCAAAAACAAGACCAGGAGCTGACTGTGGAAAAGACTGTTAAGTGTTCATACACAGTTGAAGTTGAAGTTAAAGAAAATTAAAACAAGTCCATAAGAACCAAAATATGACCTTGATTATATCCCACCTGAATTTAGAAACCATCTGAGGGATAATTTGATGCATTGAACACCAAAGACCAAAAACCAGAGGAATTGTGGGATGACATCAAGAACATCATATGTTAAGAAAATAAAAGATCATTAAAAAGACAGGATAGGATTTGACCCAGCCATTCCATTACCTTAAAGAAGTGAGATCCATGACAAGAACAGATACATGCACACCCATGTTCATCACGGCACTATTTACAATAGCCAAAAGATGGAAACAACCTAGATGTCCATCAACTGAGGAATGGATATCCAAACTATGGTA